CTCAATGTTTTATCAAATTTTATTTTTTTATTTGTAACATTTTTATAAAATATAGCTAATTATATATAAAATTTGTTAAAAAAAATATTGTTAATTTATATGTTAATTTTGGAAAAAAATTGTTCATTGCTAAATTATAAACGAAATAATTGAATAATTCAATTTAATTATATTTTCGAATTAAGAATCTCAGAAAGTAAGCTTGAAGTTTTTTAATAACTACAACTGCGTTGCTATTTTTAGGAATAACTATTATTAACGTGGGTATAAAAATAAATAAAACCCCCCTGCCCATCTCCAAGAATGAGCAAAGTTGGGAGGGATCAATGATCAAGGATTTAAACCAAAGTCACATTTTTCCAAAAGTCCCTCCATTTAAAAGGTTTAATAACTTAAATAAATAAAATAAATATCTAAATATTTTGATTATGGGAATTTTGATTAATTATATTAATAATTATTATAATACAAATTTAAAAATGTTGTATATTAATACACCTTATTAAATTATTACACTCATTAATAAGTATAAATGACAATAATTTAAAATATAATTTTAATAATTAAGTAATTTAATATTATATATATAATTTAAGTGATTGGATGTGAACTAATATTGTTAGATACCAATTTCAAAAATATAGCATATTTAAAGCAGTTTGTATTTAGCAAAAGTTTAAATAAAATTACTTTTAATTTATGTTTTAAACAATGAAATGATATTAATATAGTTAAATTACTATGAAATGTCCCGAATTTATATTTGACAAGCCGACTGGTTTGGGGATAAGAAGAAAACAATTAATTGAGTAAGCAAGTGAAAAACTTGAAATTGTTAAAAAGTAGCAAAAAAATAAGAATAAAAAATAACGAAATCAAAGAGAAGTCGAGAAATTTGGCGAATGATAAAGACCTCCTTTCGGTTGAAAAGAAAGAGACTCCGGAGTGTATGTGGCCAACTCTTTAGGGAGCTTAACTCGACGAGAAACAAGACAAATGCGACAGCTTTGAAGACGATATGTCTGGAATGAAGACTGTGTTGGAAGGTCTTGACTGGCTGCTAAGACATACAAACGTGCAAAGAACATGTATATGAAAAATTTGACTGTGAAGAAAAACAATCTTAAAGTCATGTGTTTTCCTTTTCTATTTAGGAGACGCTTGTCATCAGGCATTTGCGGCAACGCGTTAAAGACTTGTTGATAAGCCCTTTGACTAATTAAATAGAACAACGTTGTATGGACTACTTCTAAACGTCTTCGTGAATTGTTTACCCTCATCGTGTAAATGAGGGTAAACACCCAGAGCTTAAACCTTTAAGAAGAACGTTCAGATGGCCGAACAAAAGAAGGTCGAGACTATGAAAGACTATAAGGCCGCTTCTGAAGAATTGATGAGAACAAAGACGGAACTTGACGAGAAACAAGACGAATGTGACAAACTTGAAGATGATATGTCTGAGATGAAGACTGAATTGGAAGCCCTTGAACAAGCTGCGAAGACTTATAAACAATCGAAGAACACTTATGAGAAGAAATTGACTGAGTAGAATGAGCAACTTGATCTTGAAAGAACCACTGCTCAACAGGCTAAAGCACAGAAGAAGAAATACGCCGAGTAGCTTAGAGAAGTGATGGAGAAATAAAACGAATTTGGTGAATATAAGGAACAAGCTGAGAAATCTATCAACTCGTTGATTGCTCAAAAAGCTGATTTACAGATGGAACTTGAAAAGGAGAGAGCAGTGAAACAACAAACCAAATTTAAAGACTTCAATTGAAAGTTATCTATTTGAAATATAAATTGGCGGACGCTGGTGCGACTGGAGCTTTAATTGCTAAATCGAAAGCGAAATATAAAACAGAATTGGAAGTAATCAAACCAGAGAAGGAAGAAACACAAAACGCCGCTGCTTAAGGTCGAGAAGAAAACCAAACAATACACCAAAGAGGTTGAAGAGGCTGAGAGAAAGCTTGTAGAATTCGAACAGAAGGAAGCTACCTCAAATAGGTAAGACACAAGCCGATTTGAAAAAGACACAACAATCAGTCAGAGACGGTGAATTGAGAGTTGCAGATAATCTGGAGAATGTCCGAACAATAAACAGCTTTACGTTGATCAAGTAAGTGCTTAAAAAACTTTGAAATGAAGTGAAACACAAAAACGAGGATTATTAATTTTTTTCATTATTATAGTTTTTTATATTAAAATCTGGTTTAAATACAAGAGTCTTGTTATTTGTAAAATAAAGTATTTTAATTATATTTTAATGGTTTGATTATGACTAGATACCTCAAGTCTATTAAAGATAGACTCCAAGTTAGAGTCTATTGGTAGACTCTAATAATTCCACAAAGAAAAGCTTTAAGATAACAATTTCATATTTAGAGATGGATCTTACAGATGACACGAAAAAAGGGGATGTTCTATTTTTAATAAAGAACCAGGGTTTCTATACAAAATCGAAACAAATCGATAACTTCAATTTATATTTTATAATCAGAACTTAAAAAACATATAGAGTAGCAAGAAGAGAGAAAAGAAAGCAGAGAAAAGAAGCGGCATTGTTTTGAGCGAGAAGGTAAGCGAGAAAAATAATAAGCTTCGTTATAAATCATTCAAATTTGTATTTTGTTTACTAAGCATGTTTTCGAACAATCTAAAAATGGATTCTTGGTTAATATTTTTGTTTCAATTCGAAATTCGATTAACAAGTAGTACCCCTTATTTCTTGTTTTCCATCTTGTCATGCATCTTCTAATTATAAATTGATGTTATTGTTATTATGTTTGATGTATTACAATTAATTAGTGCCCGACTTTTAGTAATTTTTTTATAATTAATTAATAAAAAATATTAGTTTTTAATTATGATCTTATTATTGTTTTTGTCAAATAGTTTATTTTTGTAATAATATTATAGTTATTATATAGTTTTTTGTTTTACTCACGATGGTTTTGATATAGTTGTTTTATAATATTTTTATAGTTGTTGTATAGTGTTTAAAAAATGTATGGTAATAGTTTAAGTGTGTTTGGTTGTAGATTCGTTTATTAATCATGTTTCAGAGCGATTTCCCTGTTTGTTAAATATTTTACCATTGTTTTTCTTGTTATTGTTTGAGTCGGCAACTATTTCAATGTTTTAATGATTTTTTTTTTGAAGTATTGCATCGAACACGATTTATGTTTCATGGTATCTTGTTTATTTTTTGTGTGTTGTTTATATTGTTTGTTTGAGTAATTGGTACTAAACACGCCATTTTGTTTGCTGTTTTGAAAGATAAATTATCTATTTTATTATTTATAGATTTGTACGAAAGCTATATTTGTATTCATTTTGTTAACTTGTGTACCTTTTGCTCCGTTGAAGTTTTCAAAATGTGCTCCACCTGTTTTATTTGGATTTTTTAAGACCATTTGTTAACTTTTTCACTATTTTGATATTTGGAGGTGGTAATCAATTCATCCTAAAATTCAGAAAAACACTATAAAACCAACCTAATAATCTACACAGAAATAAAAAATGGTAATCCAAACAATTAATTTTTTCTTCTTAAAAATGAGGCTTTTTTTCAAAAAATATGGTAAAAGAGGAAGAAAAAAACACTAAAAATTAAATGGACGCAGTTTTGGGCAGCGGCACTCAATGAGTAAATTTTGAAAAACGCCTGATTGTGAACTGGAGTGTGCACTGGGTGCACAAGTGGGTACGTGCCAACATCACCAATCACAAACAAATGTGAGACGTGCAGAACTTTTGATGTGAATTGTGCTGAGTGCGAAACAGACCAACGAAAGTGCATCAACTGTCAAAATGGGATGTATCCAAACACAAGTAAAACATGCACTCGATGTGATGCAAGTTGTAATGGGCAATGCAACACATCAAATGGTGTCTTTACAGGCTGCACAACAAACAACGTCTTCACTGATACACCCGGCAAAGCGTGTGTTGCTTGCAAATCATTTGACACAAACTGCTTCACCTGTTCACCAGACTTTTCGAGAAAGTGCAAAGTGTGTGTAATTGGGTTCTATCCCGACGATGTATTTGGCAAATGTGTTGCGTGTGCGACAATAACAAATTGCAACACGTGTTCATCTGATACACAGAAGTGCCTGACATGCAAAGATCCGTTTATTCAGAAGAGTGGTGGTTGTGAAATCTGTCCGATTGAAGAATTTAAGTTCAGCGAGACAACATGTTCAAAATGTTACAACACAATCGACAATTGCAACACATGTGATACAATCGCTGTTGGCAAAGCAAGATGTAATGTGTGCATTTCTCCTTAAGTTTTGAATGGCACAAAATGTGAATTGTGTCAATCGAATGAATATTATGACAACACAAAAGGCACCCCAAGTTGTATTCAGAATGAAATTAACTGTGACATTTTACTTGGCAAAGAAAGCTGTCTGGACTGCAGTGACACTTTCTTTGTTTCCAACTCAAAATGTGTTTCATCTGAAAGTTGTGAGTCACCAACTTTAACTTCGTGTGATTGTTTAGACCAAATATCAATCAACTCAAGATGTACATCAAAAATAGATCGTTGTAAATACCAGAAATCTGAGAAGGGTGTTTCGACGTGTATTACATGTGTTGATAATTATACTTTGAATGATGGTGATATGTGTGAACAACAGAGTGTGTATGAGTTTTTGAGAAATGGAGTTGTTTTTGGTTGCAAAACGGGAACGTATTTGACAAAACAAAACACGTGCAACAGTTGTGGTACATCAAATGCAGTTTGTACAACTCAAAACAAGTTTTTGAAGTGTGGTGATT